CCTGAAGAAAGATAAACTTCGAAAGCAGTGAGTTGTTCAGCAAAAAATGACGAGTGCTGGTAATCGTAATGTCGTTTGCCTTCCTCATGCTCAAGGAGAGCCGGGAGCTGAGCAAGGACCATCTCAATGGCAAGATCCCAGCTCTGCCACAAAGGATGGGTGTGAGTTTCGGGAAGCTTTGGCGAAGAAATTGGATGGCATTCATGAGCCCTCATAATACGTTCGGCGAGAAGGAAATTTCTAAACAAGGCTGCAACCATGAGGTCTTGTCGGAAGAGTTTCTTGAAAAGAGGTCTAGGAAGAGTATTCCAAGCAATTGTATCCGTAATTGCGGTAAATATCCAATTCAATTCGCCAAGAGGACTCCTTCTGTCTTGGAGACGCCCAGGTACTCTGAAATCGTCAATGGATATATTGGTGTGCAAAGGATTCTGCAGAATAAAATATCTCAACGCAATCTCGATCGGGGTAGTTAAGCAGCAGGTGAAAAGATCAGCAGGGAGGTTGGGATTAGTTGGAAGGGTTTCGGTTCTCTCGCAGGCAGCGAGTAAAATACAATCGCCATAATGTTGGATAAGTGCATTTGGATCTCGTTTGCGAAGTTCGATATTTTCCTTCTCGTGCTTCTCTACAAATGTTTGGAAGTTATGGACGATATTGCCAGCATGAGATACGTCAAACACGAACAAACTTGGCCCAGCAAGCCAAGTCTGCAAATCGTACAATGAAACTGGGATGTATTGGGTATAATTCTTATTGAATACCCAAAGCTCCCCTGATTGGGTTGGCAAAGGGACCCCGTGTCCATTATAATGAAAAAGTACGCGCTCGTCCTTCGCGTTGCGACGAAGAGAGATGCAGAATTTTTTCGTCTCATCGACAGAAGGGTCCAAATATTGTTTGTAACGCGTACGAAGGCTCAGAGTTTCATATTGTTCTTGCAATTTCTTTCCAATTTGTTCCATCACCTTGTTCTGTGCTCCTGTAGTAGAAGTCGGATCCACCCAGCATTCTAGCTTTGAGGTGGGGTTGGTTTTCACTACATCGGGCGGATCGACACCAATGTTTAGGCAGATGGCCAGCGCAGCAGACACAGTTTTCAGTCGATCTCTCATACGCCAGTCTTGGCTTGGCCAGCTCCCAGCTGGGTCCCTCGGTATGCCACTGGTTTCATGCCGTTTCTCTGTGAAATACATATAAAAACTCTGGAAAGGCTGGAGTTAGAATCCGCTTTGGATGAGATCAAATTCACGCCACGTTAAGACTCACGGAGTTGAGAATCTTCAGATATTCACTGGAAGTGTATTCCGTCATGCCAGCCGTGTCTTAGCTGGAAATCCTCATCGTCGCTATGGGGCGCCCGGTCTCAACTCCAAACTTGGGGAAGTGTTCGCTCTTCGCCCTGATAAGAGCGGGTATGGGGCGTAGGTTCCTTGTTACCGCCGGTGATGCAGTCCCTTTATTTCCATCCGCACTACTAGAGGAGAGCCTGTGAAGAATTCGGCCTTCCATTGCTTTGAAGTTGCTCGGCGACAGTTGTTCTCGCTCGCTGGTGGCCGGGTGCGGTAGGCGATGGTGCATTGTTTGACGGCGGTATATACTCGTCGACCTGTGGACCGAAGGCGACTCTGACCGACTTGCCCTGGCCACGTTGTTGTGGGCCAGCACCTTGTGCCATATTGGGATACTTCTGCGCTGGCGCAGTTTGATCCATGTCAAAGTTGGGGGATCGTTTTATAGGAAGCCATTCATGGCTTTAAGATGGTTGCAACGACTTGCGTTCGAAACAACGAGAGGTATTACTGCGTCTTTCAACTGTCATTAAGCTGGCATAATATATTAGAACTTGGATTATTTCGAAGGAGAGGGCGTCCGCAAACAAAAGTGCGCTTACCTTGCGCCGGAACTACCATGCAGTCTAGAGCTCAGACCGGTAAAAATGACAACCAAATACGTCCCGTCAAATCAAAAAAAAAGTTAACATGAATGGCTGTCAGCAAATGAAGACATCCCCTGTTTTCGATACGCAAAGTGGATTGTATATCTGCGTCCGACAAACCGAACCTACACCGTCCTGGAAAGACTGAAGTTCAGTTCTGTCGTCACAGCTAGGTTTGGCGACGTG